GAGCCCGCGTCCCCCGGCTTGTCGGTGCGGCTCGAGAGGCTACCTGCCGGCCCAACTCCACCGTCTCTGGGGCTGCTGAACCCGAGGGCGGTAACGTGAGGGCCCTGACTTCCGGGGTCACAGGCTGGGCGGCCAACCCGAGGCGCGACCCTCCTCCTGGCCTCCGGACCGGGGAGAGAAGCCAGCCGGCCTTGGGGTGCAGACTCGTGGGCTCCGGGGTGGGCAGGCGAAGGTGCTGGTGGTGGTGGCGTCTCCGACACAAAGAAGTTCTGCTCTCCGTGTGCCGTCGTCGGGACACTTAATGTGCCCCCACCTCTGGAGGGGGAGTTTGGACCCGTGGGTAGTTGAGGGAGGTGAGGGGCCTGCGGTCACCCCAGCTGGTAGGGGAGACTCGAACTGTGTTTAGTTCCTAGGCTTGCAGACGTTGCCTTTCCCCCCAGCCCACCCGTCCTCCCACACACTTTCAGACCCAAAGGTCCAGCATGTGCTTTGCCGCCTTGATGCGGCAGGACTGCCTTATCGCCGCTGGCAGAACTCCCTCACTGCTTTTCTCGCTGTTGGTGAAAAAATAAGACAAGGGTGGTTTTCGTCTCTGAGTGGCTTCTGGGTTTTCTGTGCTGCATATTGCCTTGGCCGGGAAGACCCTACAGCTGGGAGCTGAGACTGGTCCAGGGTTTCTTGGTCGGCTGAGCTGGGCTTGTCCGGGGTCTGAGGATCGATTCGTGAAAGAAGTGGAGTGTGCTGCCCAGATGTTGGGGCCTCCAGAGTGCAGGGTGCTTGGGCCTAGGAAGTGAGTATTTTTATTTTTGGCCCACCTGGTTCCTTGGAGGGGCCAGGTGGTATCACGAGTTAGGCTGTTGGCAGGTAACTGCAGGGTGGGTGCGGTTCAAGCCCACCAGCCAACCCATGGGAGGAAAAAGGAGGCAGTTGCTTCTGGCAGCCTCAGAAACAGAATGGGGCAGCCTTGCCCTGTCCTGCTCTGTGTGGGTGGGGAGTGCCACAATCTCCGTGCCAGCACCCATTTTACAGGTGTGTGCCCAGGGGAAGAGGCAGTCTGGTGAACAGTGCAGAGGTGGGGGGTTCTTGGGGCGTTTTGACCCTGCCTTCATTCAGGTCAGTGAAACACCTGTAACACCTAGCCCTCCCTAGTGCCTCTGCCTGGTTGAGGAACAGGTGTAATGGGTTTTAGGGATTTAGAGCCATGACTACTTGTCATTGAAGGTGCTTGCTCTGGCAGCAGGAACTCTGGACCGCAGGATCCTGGGGACCCAGCCTTTGCTGCGACCACCCCCTGGGTTGGCACCTGTGGCCCCTCCTCCCAGGGGTGACACTGCATGATCTGACCCATCAGGCTGTGCACCTCAGGGAGCCAGCCCTGCATTGGCTATTTTAGCCACTCTAGGACCACTCTGGGGTTCCACTCAGTCAGAGGCGGCAGCCAGGTGTTGGTCCAGCTTGAGGTCCCCAGAACACCCTGGCACTTGCGCCAGGGCCTGCCTGTCCTGGAGAGTGAGCCAGTGTCTTTCAGCCCCCTGTGGTCGTTCCACCCACACGGGTTGGGAGTGCCTCAGTGGGCAGGTTAGCATGCGGACTGAGCTTCCCTACTAGGCTGGCCATTTTTCCACCTCCCCGCAGCGACTGGGGACTCCAACAGCGCTGGGGTGCCTACAGCCCACTCTGCAGAAACACATGCCCACAAACCTTCGCCATTGGCCTCCAGGCCACTCACTGTGGCCATGTGGTGTCTGCATATCTGATTGATGACACCCCCAGCTAGCCACCTTAGACTTTGCCCCCCCCTCAGCTGGGTACCCTCGGCCGAAGGACCAGCACACCAGATATCAGTGTCCCAGAAGGAGATTAGAGCCTAGGGGAGGGATGGGCGAGGATGGAGGTCAGATGTGGTGATCCACTCCTAATAGCAAGGCACCACCAAGGACTGGTTTGCCCCCAACTTGCAGCCGTCTGTTTTGGACCTACACTGAGGTTAACAAACCAAACTTGCTGTCGTCAAATTGATCCTGATTCATAGTGACCCTGTAGTAGAACAGAGTAGAGGCAAACAGCCTCCTCTTCCTCCCAGGGAGCTGCTCAAACCTCCAGCCTTTCTGGTGGCAGCTTAGTGCATTAACCACTGAGCTACTCAGGCCAGGCACCTTAGATGCGCTCCCCACCCCCATGGTCTGTAGGTTGCAGGTCTGTGTTAGGTTGGGATGCTGTAGGGTACTGGGGGACTTCTTGGATGGCAGCCCCTTAGCTCTAGCGGCAGCTCTCAAACTTGAGAGCCAGGTTACCAGCTTGCCGCTGTAAGGGCTCGGTGCAGGCATCCCTCTATTGGTACTTGTTCAGAGCTACCTTGTCTGTGTTTGTAGGACCTCTCCCCAGGGGGATGTTGAGGCTTTCTGGGGTGTCTTTTGAGTGATGGGTACCACCAGAACAGCTAAGGAAGGCACGGGCATCCCACAGGGCACACCTGGGCCAGGTGGATCTGCCTCCAGAATGGCAGGGGCCCCCACAGGCCTGCTGGGTGCCAGGGAGTCAGACCTGGGCACACCATTCATCGGGGCCCCCACCCACCTCTGGTTCCTTTCCTCCAGAAGTAGGAGTGGTTGCTTGAGACTCCGCCCTCCTCCGGAATAGGTTCCCTCCCTCTGGAATTCAGCATGCCTATGAAGATCTGGTGTAGTTTGGGGCTATGGTCCTGGCATAGGACAAGACTGAACAATTTCGGTTACCTTAGGGTGTGGTCAGCGCCACGCCCAGGAGCCTGAAAGTGGGCCCTGCAAGCACTGTGTCGTGTGGGTAGGCAGCTGGGGCGTGCTGTGTGGAGCCCTGCGTAGTGGAGGTGGTCTTGAACACCCCCACCTTGCTGCTCCAGAGCAGTGTGGATGCCCACATGCTGGGGTTTTTCTGCAGCATCGGGGGCATGGAAGGATGGGGTGCTCAGTGATTTGTTCCAGGTAGCATGATTGGGCTAAGCCTGAGCACCCATTATACAGGTAGCACCACTGTGTGAGAGTTGTTGGGCCAGTACTCCTGACGTCCTTGCCCAGCATCTGCTGCCTGGAGCCACTTGCTCTGATGGTGGGGGCTGCCTCTCCTCTGAGCCATCCCCTGGTGGGAAACAGGCCTCAGTGGGTGTGCACCCAAGGTGGGGGCCCCTGCAGGTGCTATCCCCTTCCGCCCACCTGAGCCCCGATGTCCCTGCAGAACTTGGACTATGTCGGGGATCGCCCTCAGCAGACTTGCCCAGGAGAGGAAAGCCTGGAGGAAGGACCACCCCTTTGTGAGTACAAGGAGGGTGGGGGGCGCCTGGGGCAGGCAGTGGCAGGACCATGGCCATGACCCGTGGTGTCCTCTCTCTGCAGGGATTTGTGGCCGTCCCAACGAAAAACCCTGACGGCACGATGAACCTCATGAACTGGGAGTGCGCTATTCCTGGGAAGAAGGGGGTGAGCAGCCATGGAGGCCGAGGGGAGGGACAGACAGGTGGGGGTATGCCAAGCAGCTGGGACACAGTGGCCTGGAGCAGGTGTGCCGGCCCCACTCCTCCCCTGCAGGCCGCCCGGGCAGCTGGGCCTGACTCCCTGCCTTGCTAGTGAGCCCGCAGGGGCTCTGGACCCGTCCATACCCTGCGCCTGGGGAATGGGATCCTCCCTATGGCCTCCAAGCCACACCCCTGCTCCAGCTCAGGGTCACCTGAGACCTGAGTTTGTACCCACGGATGTTCCCCAGGCCCCCAAGCCTTCTGCCTCACTGTACCCCTGGGAGAGGAGGGGAGGGGCAGGAGGCCAGGTACACAGGTGCCTCTTTGGGCTGCTGGGAGGCCGGTCCTCACCACCCAGCGTTGGGAGTCTGATGGAAGGTGACCAGTGGACTCAGACAACTCAGCCTCCTTCCTCTGGGTGACTGGTGGGTTTGAACCGCTAGCTTTATGGCAACCCAGTCCCTGGCCCCTGCATAACCAAAGCTCCCTAGAGAGGCTGTGGGTGACTGGTTGCATTAAAGAATTGACATGGCCCTTTAAACAGCTCAGGCTTCCAGGCCGGTCTCCGGGGCACCTTTCTCCCCTCTGCTTCCCGCCCCATGCCTGGGTTTTTATAGCCCACGTGATTGGGGACACAGCCTGTTCCCAGGGGGCCCCATCCATGAGTGTGAAGGGTTGGCATTGACAGCACCTACGTGAGGGACACAATCAGGGCCTTCCTGTCCCCTCCGGAGCCTCAGGCCCTCTCTCCTGTCCACCTCTGAGCTCGTGGAGGTCTCTATCCACAAGGCTCCGCCCCTGGCTGGCTGACCAGCTGATGGAGTCGTGTCTGCCCACAGACCCCATGGGAAGGAGGCCTCTTTAAGCTGCGGATGCTCTTCAAGGATGACTACCCATCTTCCCCTCCCAAGTGTGAGTGGGGAAGCCTGGGAGATGGGGGCCGGTTCTCGTCCTTCCCTTGGGGACTCAAGGCATGGGGTTTTCAGTGTCACCAGGGGGCCAAGATGCACTGGGAAGTGGGGAGCCACCAATGGTGGCGTCCAGGTCCACGCGCCAATGCAAGTCAGGCAAGAGGCTGTGAGTGCCAGGGCAGGGGTGGAGGGTGAGTGGACAAATGAAGGTTTTCAAACCAGTATTTGTGGCGGGGTCCAAGATCAGAGGTGCCCTCGGAAGATACGGAAGACTGACAGCACCTCAGAGGGGCACTGAGGAGATAGAAGGGGCTAGGGACAGGACCAGAGATAGAAGGGGCTAGGGACAGGACCAGGCGCCAACTCGGCATGCTGGTGTTGGAGAAGGGAGCTGGCATGTCGCCACCCACAGTCAACCTGGGCACACCCTGGAGAGCCTGAGAGGAAGGCAAATACCCCCTGCCTGCCCAGGATGCGCCCACCACAACTACCTTCCTTCGGGTAGACAGCAGACGGGGCCATCGAGTCTGCTCCAACTTACAACGGCCAGTGTCCCACTTCTGGGTCCAGCGCCGTCCTCAACGGCATGACCGACGTCCAGCCCAGGCTTGCAGCTCCTGGGTTGGTCCATCTCTTTGTAGGTCTTCCTCTTTTTCAGTGACCACAGCATGATATATCAAACGTATCGGTTTGATTCCTTATGCACGGACCAGCTCTGGCTGCATATAAGGCACCTGGTGCACCCTGGCTCCGGTCAGCGTCCAGACTTCAGAGGGATCTGTGGGCCTGATGCATTCAAGAGGCCTTTGTCCTGGGCAGTTGCCTGTCGTGCCCTTGTCTGAGTTCTAGACCGATCTCTCCTGGGGTGTTAGTCGTGGATCGGAGTGAAGTGAAGTCTTAGACACACACGGTACCTTCGTTACAATGTCAAGATGGAGCTGTCGTGAAGATTCTGTCTTCTGTCCCTTGAGTTGTGATCCCCACTGAGGCTCTGGCTTTGATCGGCGGTGGCAGCAAGTGCTTTGAGACCTCTTCAGTGTCAGCGAGGATGTCATCTCAGCGGCCTGTTGCAGGGGTTAGCCAGCCTCCTCCTGAGGCCGTCCGTGGTGCCAGCTGCGTTGAGTAAAGCCACAAGCACACGCCTTTCTCAGTCTGAAGCACACAGAGCCCCTGGGCTCTGCCGAGATTCTGGAATGATTCTTCCCAGAGTGTGGTCTGTCATCGGTACAGTGAAGCAGAAGGCTTGGGGGCCTGGGGTACAAACCCGGGCCTTTTCGTGGCACTGGGGGGCTCTGTCCCTGACCCATACCCAGCTGACAGCTGCAGGGACAGCCGTGCTCCACATCCAAGGTCACCGGATGTCAGTTGTAGGTGCTGTCGTGACAGTTCCACGGCCAAGGGGCAGGGCGCCAAAAGGACTGGTGAAGGATCTCAATATTGGAGCCTGGTGCAAGCCGGCAGGAGACAGCAGGATTGTCTACAGGACGTGAGGCTCAGGGACTGTATCACCACGCGCCTGGGGCCCCTGCTGGTGAGAATGCTCACGGCTGAGAAGAATGGCCTGTTGGCACAGGTTCACACACAAGTGCAGGCACTCTTGGATGCCAGCAGAGCTCTGGCAGCGACTGTGCTGTCCTGGGTGTGACGAAAACCGTAAACAGAGGATAAAGGTAGAAATGGACTGGGGGAAGGAGGAGGGCCGCCAACTGCAGCAGGTGCCTCATCTGCCCACATTTCCCGAGCGTCCTCTGAAGAGAACTGGAGGCTTGTTCCTGAGCAAGAAAGGACAAGAGGGCCCACCAGGCTGCTGGTCTGCTTCAGAGATGGTGGCCGTGGGGAAAGCCACTCGAGGACTTGGGAAAGGCCTGTGCTTGCCTCCAGCCTGACCCCCTTCTTAACCCAGTGACACTGGTGGGGGGGCCTGGTGTAGGGGAGGGAGGCAACTGCCTGGGATTGCCGCCCACACCCCTCTCCCGGCATCCAGGTAAATTTGAGCCCCCGCTCTTCCACCCGAATGTGTACCCCTCGGGCACCGTGTGCCTGTCCATTCTGGAGGAGGACAAGGACTGGAGGCCAGCCATCACCATCAAGCAGGTAGGGCTGAAGCGGGCTGGGGGGTGGGCGGGGCGGGGCTGGCTGCCCACCTGTGCCTCGCCATGTCCCCACAGATCTTACTGGGAATACAGGAGCTCCTAAACGAACCAAATATCCAGGACCCGGCCCAGGCCGAGGCATACACGATCTATTGGTGAGTCCTATGTGGCCCGCCGAGGCTGCCAATGGGGCGAGGGTTTGGGGCGACCATCTCCCAAGTGAATGCAGCGCACTCAGGCCTGGCCGTGGTCACCCAGCCTCACATGTCCCTGCAGTGTCACTGCCCAGGAGCTCCCCACCAGGGGGTGGGAGCTGTGGGACCCAAAGCAACTTGCTGGAATCTTGGTGTGGCTGCTCCCTGCGTATGTGCGTGCTTGTGTATGTATGTGTACGTGTATGTATGTGTACGTACTCATGAGTATATGGGTGGGGGGGGCCATCCTCGGTAGGACTGCCTTCATGGGGGTGGCCCCTGGTGGCACCTCAGCTGCCTGGGGCTGCTGTCCTTGTGGTCCCCAGCCTTGCCCCGAGCCTGGGGCTCACCCCTACCAGGGTTAAGGCCTGCAGACCAATGGTGCCATTCAGATGCAGTTTCTTGCCCTGTAAGGTCACTTTGCACAGGGTCAAAGGGTTCCCCTAAAACCACCACTTCAAGTTCATGAGCTTGGGAGCACTCCTCAGGAGATACAGTCTGGGGGAGGAGGGCTGCTGTACCCTGCTCAGCACCAGAGTAGCTCCCACCCTACCTTAGGCGCCTGTTCCCAGGCCCTGGAACTACCTAGAGAGTGGGACCCAGAGGAGGTCTTGGACCTATCAGGGAAGCCCCCACAAGCTGGGGAGCCAGGAATGTGTTCTCTGCTGCACGGCCACTTAGCTTTGCAGCCTGTAACAGACAAGTCCTGGGGCTGACTGCCAGCAGGTGGGCTAGTGGAGCCAGCGCTTGTGCTCAGCTGGAGTCCTGAGATGTGCCCTGGGCTGCAGACCATGGCCACTCCACACCTGGGATGCAGCCCCTGTTGAGCCGCCTGGTAATGTATCCCTTCTCTCTGACTCCGCAGCCAAAACAGAGTGGAGTACGAGAAGCGGGTCCGAGCACAAGCCAAGAAGTTCGCGCCCTCATAAACCAACCATGTGACGCCAGGAGGAAGGGAGGGGCTTGGCAAGAACTTGTTTACAACACTTTGCAAACCCCGTCGCTATGTACAATTCTCGTCACCGAGGGGGCCGGCGCTGCCACCTCCTCCACCACTGTCCACTCGTCTCGATTTGCTCACTTGCCCCCGTTTTTTCATACAGGGTCTCTTCCTTCGGTCTTTTGTATTTTTGATTGTTCTGTAAGACTTGGCTTTTATTTTAATATTAATGTCAGTGTTCCCACTGCTGTACCAAGATAAACTTTTCTACTCTGGCGAGCCCCTAGGCGCTAGTCCCTCTGCGCGGACGCAGGCATGCTTCATGGTGTCGGCGCTGAGCTTTGCTCCTGCTGGCCGGCCGGCCGGCTGACACAGTCACTTTTCCTGTCTGTCTGTGGCCGGCCAGCGCCCGAGTCCGCACCACTCCCCGTGTTCTAGGACGTTCTGTCTGTGTTGCTGTTTAGGGTAATAAACTGTTTCTATAAAGGTTCTGTTGCCTTCTCGTCATTCACCCAATGCCAGGAGGCAGCCGCCCGGCTCTCAGCAGTGCCGCTAGCCGAGCCGGGTGGTGTGATCCGGCAGCACCCTTGCCATGCTGCTGAACCGAGGCCCAGACACTCTGCCTGCCAGTGAATGACCAAGAGGAGCCACTGACCAGCACCCTCCTCAGCACACCTGTGGACGCCTGCCAGGACCCACATGCTCCATGGACTGGGCACCAAGCTGCTCTCAGGACGCCACCTACCCAGCTACTGGGGCAGAGCAAGCACAGTGCCCCCACCATGTCTGCGAAGGCAACCTTCCTGTGTGCTCTGACCGGCCTGCCTAAAGTAGTTACAGAGACTGCAGGCCCCTCGATTGGCAACATGCGGGGCCCTGGGCTTGCCCCCTTGGCCACACCTGGGTCTTCTCCAGTGCAGGGACCAAAGGGTGGGAATGATACTCCGTGGAGCCCCAGGGAGGCCTGGTCAGTGGCACCCAAGAAGATGCAGCATGCACCCCAGGCTTGATGGTGTCAGCCAACTGGCCGAGATCCCCTGGGCAGTCAGCATGGCACCAACTTGCCCCTGGACTTGGTAACCTGGGAGTTGACTCGGAAGGTCCCAGTTGCATGCAGACACTTCAGCCTGGGGGCCGAGGTGCAGGTCTACCTGCTTGCTGGATGGAAGTCCGAGCCACCTCGTCACTGTTGCCTGCATCACGGCCGCTGCCTGTTGTCACCAAGTTGTCTGCAGTGACTATGTCTCTAGCCAGCTGGAATGATCTCCGCCTGTGAAGTGTCCCTTTTGTAGCTCAGCCCCCAGCTTCGCATAGCCGAGAACTGTGTACCACGAGACACCTGGCGCCGGGCCGCTCTGCCCCTACTGCAGGGTGAGCACCTTCCTGCATGGACCACCATGCGCTGGTCAGCAGTTGTGACTGGTGACCCGCCCTGTGTATGTGATCTCACATTAAAGCCTTTCCACAAACCTCCCTGTGGGCTCTGTCCTTTGCTCTTCTGGGGAGAGGACTGGGCTCTCAGGTCCTGGCTGCTCGTGTCTGCTCTACAGGTGAGATGCGCCCTGGAGGTTGGTGAGGCTGAGGGTCTGGAGAGTTGGGACTGACCTGGGCTGCCTCCAGCCAGTCTGAGCCTGCCACAGCTCAGAGGGGCAACAATTTTAGTTGGAAGAGTAGGGGACACCCTATAGCCCCAGTGAATTGTCCCTGTAAATATGTACACCCCAGGCCAGCCACCCCTCAGAGGAGCCTTACCTTTGAGGAGGAGACCTGGAGCCCTCCACAGGCAAGAAACCCCAGCCTTTGGTCCACCTCTCGTGATAGCCCACCCACTGCCTTCTCCCCTCCCCAGAGGCCCAAGCTTTTGCTCTGTTCAGGTGCTGATCAAGCCCCAGCTCTGGCCAATTCCTGAAACGTTTCCCTCCTGGACCTTCCATGACCTCTGCTTCTCAGACAGGTGCCAGTGGCCTTTGTTTTGCAGCATGGAGGGACCTAGGTCTGCCTCTGAGCCCCAGAGACCTGAAGCTCAACAACTGTCCAGAATGGCCTGGACAGCTTTGGGGCTATCAGGCAGGTGCTGTCAGCAGGGCCACCAAACTGGTGACTGGACAGATGTGCCCTTGAACCTGCAGCCCTCCTCTCAGGCTCCTCTGCTGGCAGTGCCACCCCAGGATGTACAGACCGTGGGGCCTGGATTTTTGCCCCTGAACATGAGAACGATGGGAGCTGCCCTGATTGGGAGCTGTGCCTGCAATTCCTAGTGCTGCCACCAGAAGGCAGAAGCCTGGACTTAGCTGGTTGACTTTAAGACAGCCCTGCTGGTGCAGAATGCTCAGCTGCTGGCAGCTCCTATGAGGCACACAGCCTCAGAAACAGTACAGGTGGGCAGTTGTACTCTGCCCAACAAGTTCGATTACAGTCTGGCATCAGGTTTAACGTGGAGAGAGGACCCTGCCTCCCGTGAATCCCCCTCCCTGCTTTTCAACCAGACACGCTGTAGCCCAGTGGTTCTCAACCTTTCTAATGCCGGGACCCTTTAATACAGTTCCTCATGTTATGGTGACACCCCACCCCCCCAGCCATAAAATTATTTTCGTTGCTACTTTGTAACTGTCATTTTGCTACTGTTATGAATCCGGTAACCCCTGTGAAAGGGGGTAAGAAAGGTTAAGAACTGCTGCTCTAGCCTAGCCCCCAGTGAGCCAGTGTCCTCTCTGATTCACCTGCTGCCCCCCACTGACTCCCAAGGCCTAGCAGCCCACCTTACCTGACCTCCTGACAAGGTGGGCTTGATCGAAGCAGCCCCAGCAAGAGAGCTACCACTGGGTCCTGTCTGGTCCTGCTCTCAAGGGGCTGCTGGCCACACATCTCTCACCCCCACAGACCCCATGAGGATCCAGACTCAGCCCGCCAGCAGCCCTTTTTAGAGCTGAGAGAAACCGAAGCATGGGCATAGAGGGGTCCCCAAATGGAACCCTCACCCATCCACTCCGAACCTGGCTGAGCTGGGGAAGCCTGCGGACCAAGGAAGCAGGTTTAGGTGTGATGTTGTGGACGAGCCCCACCAGACTGCCCCACTTCTAGCCTCATTCTCCCTACCTGTAAGGGTCCTCCAACCCCAAAGTGTGCTGTGAGAGGGATGCCACTGACCCTATCTGCTTTGGCTTCCCCAGGGGGTGAGGTGGGAGCCTGAGGGCCCAGTAGCCCCCTCCTGATTTCCTGTTTACAGCCTCTGCAGTTTCATCTCTCACCCCAAAGCCATTACGGTCACCATGGCAACCAGGCCTGTGTTTGTTCCAACAGGTTGGCAGACCTGATGCAAGACTGCAGGGAAGGGGGGCACCAGCCCCAAGATCTGGGCCCTGGACCTGCCATTCCCCCCAGGGACACCACCAGCCCCAGCCTCCCCACAACAGGGAGCCTGAGACATTGGGCACCAGGTCCCTATACTGCTGACAAGAGTTGCTACCCCAGGCGGGTCCTGAGTGACAGGCCCTGATTCATCAGGATCTGAGGGGAGGTGGGGCTAAGAGAGAGGCCATCCCCAATTTCTGGGTGCCCACTGAGTGGCCCCTTCGAGAACATCCCCTCCACCTAGGGATGTGGGAAGAAATCGCCTGCTCTCTTCCTCTTGGCCCTCGGCCTTCCCCCTGGGGGGGGGGGGGGGGCACAGCCATTCCCAGATGGCAACCCCGTGTGTAGAGTGGCCTCAGGGCCAGGTACCTTCCTACAGTGCTCGCCTAGCCTAGAGCTGCAGCAGAAGAGACCCACCCTTGTGGAGTGAAACCCTGGATCAAGCCCTGATCCAAGAGGGCCAGGAGCTATGGGTGTGCAGTGAGCTGGCCACGGGTGAAACACCCAGTGAGCCCGGGGCTTTGTGTGCCCCTACAACTTGCCCCAGGACCTCTCTGGGTCAGCCTGAGACCTGAGGCAGCTTGTCATCGAGCCCTCACCAGAGAGGGCAAGCCTTGGTCCAGCTAGAATCCTGGGATCCGGGGTCCGTCCCCTCCCCCATGCCCCCTACCCCTTCTAACAAGAACACACAACCATCTTGATCCAGGTGATGAGGTTATCAGCAAAGGCCTAATGGAGATCACTCCAGCCCTGAGCCTGCCATAGGGGGTCTTCGCGGGGGGGGGGGGGGGGACCGTCAGTCGAAGAGGAGCCCCAGACCCAAGGCCCACACAGTCAAGCAGGGACAGTGCTGGACTGGGAAGGGCCCCCAGAAATGGCTGCTTAGTGCTTCCAGGAAGGTCTGTGCTGCGTAGCAGGTGGCACTGGTTCCCTTGGGACCCCCAGGAGTGCGGGAAAACCCTCCCCTCCCCTCACCCCGCGAAAACCCTTTGCAGGGGTGGGGGGGCGCCCAGCCTGGCTCTGGACCCAGCGACCCCATCCCGCAACCTCACGGCCAGGGGGCGGGACCGGGGCGGAGGGGCGGGGCGAGCTCGGCCAGGCCCCGCCCCACTCGAAGTCCCCACTCCTCCCAGCCCGCGGCTGCGGACAGACGACTGTGCCTCTGCGTCTCGGGAGCGGCTGCTGCTGGAGCGAGGGCAGCACTCAGGAGCCCGCGTCCGTGCCCCCGTCCCTCGTGCTTCCCAGCACCCCAGGAGAAGCGGGCGCCAAGCCCGGCCCACGGTGAGTGCCGCCGTCGGAGGGTCCGCGTCCGGACGACCACCGCCCTGGACGCCACCAGCGCCCCCGGACCCCTAACCCCCGACGCGGGCCCTCGTCGTCCCCTGCGGGCTGGAGAAACTGAGGCTGCCCGAGGTGTCTACGCACCCTCTCAGAGGGCGCGGGGTCCACATTAGGGGCGGGGGGCGGGGGAGGGGCCGGGACGGGGAGGGAATATCAGATTTCCTTGATGCGAGGCGCGCAGGACCCAGGGGGCGCTGGCCATGCAGCCCGGGTGGGCCGGAGCCGAAGTCCCTGCGCAGCGCCCCACTCGAACCCGCCCCAGCCCAGCCAAACCCACCTGGAGGACTGGCGGAGGACCCGGAGTTCAGACTGCAGCGGCGGGCACCCCGGACCCCGACCCCCCGCCATTCTGTGGGTCACCGCAGCTTCTCCCCCATCTCCCCCAAATCCCTGGTACTACGAGCCCCGCCCTCCCCTCCAGCCTCCAGGAGAATTTCAAGTGCCCGCGCAGACGCCCCCAAATCGCTGGAAACGCCTGAGAGTGAGGGGCTAGAAACACACGCAGATTCCCTGGGCGCTACCACACACCCGCGAGCGCACACGCACACACATACAGGTGTCCCCTCCCGCCAATGAGGGAGGTACACCGCCAAGCTGGAGGCTCAGGCAGTGGGGGAGGGGTGCCAGAAAGTGAAGAAATGTGGACAGAGCCAGGTAAGGGGGGCTGCCGGAGGGTACCCAAACGCTCATTTCTTCCAGCGGGTGGAAGGCCTTTGTACTGGCTCATCCACTCGTCCCCTTGGCTCCCCTTGGCACCCCGCCCACTGTAATGCAGGCTCCAGGACCTCCGGTGAGGTTGGGCTGGGCCAGGAAGCCCACTCCTCTGCAGTCTGTGAGTGAGGACCCTTGGGATATGCCAAGCTGGGCTCCACCTGCCTCATGAGCAGGGTCTTAAGGGGGTAGGGGTGGGGTAGGGTGGGGACAGGTGGCACAGCGCATGTGCTGGGCCAGCAGCAGGAGAGAAGTCAGCATGGAGCCAGCTGGACACAGGACAGCTTCAATAGACCCCAGTTCCAAACTTGCAGGGTCCTGCCCCCCCGCAAAGTAGCCAGCCTCACCAGGCCCTGCTGCCCAAATTGGGCTGACGGGAGATGGATGCGCCTGAAGCTTGGGTTTGAGTCCTGCCCTGGCTGTGAGCAGGTCAGTGTGCTTGGCCTGCAGACATATGCACCCCCAGCAGGTGTCCAGCCCTGGGGACCACCCAGCTCCAGAAGTCCACATGGCAGCTAGTCCTTCTTCGCTGATATTCCCCTGTGTGCTGCCATCCTCTGCCCTGCTTCCTGTCCTGTCACAAAGAGGACATTCACATGTCTGCCACTGAGGGGCATGGTAGGTCAGGAGTCCAGGAGGGTCAGGTAGCAGGTGGCTGTCAAGCCCAGTAGGGTTATATGCTGCGTGGGCACTGGGTTTCCAGGGAACAGAGGGGCTCCGGCCTGCAGCGTGAGCCCCAGCCACCTCTCAGGACACCTGTGCAGATTTGCCACTCTGGCCCCATCCTGGCAACAGGCTGAGGGCTGGGGCAAGGAGGGGCTGCCTGGCAGGGAGGCCAAGACTCTAGGGACATCCCAGGAGCTGATTCCCAGATCTGTCACCTGCTTGCTCCCCTTGTGGGTCCTTAGGTCTCAGCCTGCTCATCTGAGAACAGGGCCCAAAGCATCCCCCTCCCTCTCTTGGTCTGGTCCAAGGTGGGGCCAGCTGATAGTGCAGGTGGAAAACCTGGGGTGTATGCACTCACTTTCTGCCTTTGCCCCCACCCCATTATCCTTACCGCTCTGGACACTGCTTCTGCGTCATAGTCCTTACTGGACCTCGAACCCCCGTAGCCCCTGTCACATGCAGATGCGGCTGGCGGTTGCCCTGGCAACAGTTCAGGCAGCAACTGCTTCACTGGCTTTGGGGGGCTGCGGGGGGAGCAGGCTCTCTGGCTCAGCAGAGGAGGGGAGGGGAGCCTGTGACGCCGGCCCCTGGGGGCTGTAGGGCTGGCTGTGGGGGCGGAGGCTTCTAGAACATTCACTCCAGCCTACCAATCCCCCATCCTTGGGGAGGCTCTAGGAGAGACACTGGTAAATTTGAAGGAAGTAGAGCTATTCTTCCCTCTCCAGCCACCATCACAGGGAGGATGCTCCCTGCCAGACTGGGGAGACCCCCAGGGTGCATATCCCACTGAGAGACAGACAGACACAGCAGGGAGCAGAGCATCCGCTCACTCAAGCATTAATTGAGGTGGCTGCTGAAGTAGAGAGAGGAGGTGTGGGTCAGACCTTAGCAGATAGGGCTGACTACCAGGGCTGGCCAGCCCCTCACTGGGCCTGGGCTCTCAGGCTAAGTCATTACCAGGAGGGGGCCCTCAGCAGTTGCGGCCCCCACCACTGGCTGCCTGTGCCATCCTGGGGCTGGGACTGGAGTTCTGCCTTGCTCGGCCAAGATAACAGAGCCTGCCTGTGGGGGTACTGCTGTGCCTGGCCCCGAGGGTCCTTGGAGAGGCGGCCCTTACCAAGAGCAGGGCAGTTCATGAAACTCATGCAAAGGCCCTGTGGCAGGCTGAGCAAGCACTTCCTAGACAACAAAGCGCAGCAAGACTGGAGACGTGTGGTGGATGCCAGGTGACACAGGTGACCTGGCTGAGGTCTGCACTTCACCCTGTCAGGTTGAACATTTTAACAGGGGAGAAAGGGGACTGGCCCACTAGGAGCTGGGGGTGGGGGATGGGAGGCAGATTACTGCACAGAGAGAGATGGGATCTGAACTGGGCAGCATGGAGGGGAGACAAGAGCGACAACCTTCCCACCCCCCACCCCCCAGCAAGAACTGCCAGGGGTGACAGGGAGCTGAGCCCTCCTGACAGATTGACAGATGTGTGGGGATCTACTCCAAACAGAACCATCCTCATGGTGGGGAAAAGGAGAGGGCTGCTAGACTGGGTCCTCCGCTTCACCCCAGCACCCCCTTGTTCCCAGACCCGGAGCCGGGAGCCAGGCTATCCAGCTCCACTCCTCTCAGACTCCAGAGGAGCTTCTGGGCACTTGGTCACCGTCACCATGGCAGCAGCGGGAGGGAGGGACTAGACAGGCTTGGAGACAAGGGAGTGGGAATGTGGCTCCACCCTGCCAATTTCCAGTTGGGGTGTGTTCTCATTGCACTGCAGCGGGGAGGGACAGCTCCACTTTGAGGTACCACCTCCCTGACTTACACCGCTAGTACTCAATGACTGCCCTTAGGACTCAGGATGGGGTGTGGACACAGACTGCACTGGAGGAACCGAAGGCCCCCAGCGACCCTACTCACCATGTGAGCTGAGCCCACTGGGCACAGAGGGTTCAGTTTGGCCCCGTGGTCAGCACTATACCCTGCCCACTGTGGCCTGTACTCTCCCTGAAGATACAGGGAACTCAATGAATATGGGGGGTGCTCAGGTTCAGGGATGGCTGCTGGGACCCCTATTAGGGACTGCCTTTTAAACCTGTCTTCCATCATGTTCCCTGGGTCACTGCAGGGGGAAGGACATGAGCTGATAGAGGCCAGGCCATTTCCAAGGTCAGTTGGCCATACTGGGCACCCAGCACAGCCTGGGCTGGTGGGGGCTCACCTCTCCTTGGTCTGTCTCCAGGTGCCCTTGGCCAGCTGGCAGCACTAGAGGGGCCCCTGCTGCCACCTCGGGCAATGGACTCTCCACCCCAGCCGGGTTTTGATTCAGGATGGTAGCGACGATAATTCAGGGTGACTTCAGTAACTGCCCCCTAGCTCCACCAACATTTCTGCTACTGAGAGTTGGGAGAGATGGTCCTGGTTTGATTGTGATTGTGGAGACCTGGTAGGACCAAGCTGAGTTTAACTGGTGGCTGAATGAATAGAGGCATGAGTGAACGAATGGATGGGGGTGAGTGAACAGGGAGGGAGTGATTGGTGAATGTGTTAGTAAATGGGGGAGGGGCGCAGTGAGTGAAAACATCACCCTGTGCCTCTGCCCGTAGGCCACCATGTCGAGCCTGTTCGACCTCAAGAGCAGCGTGCTCAGGCAGGTGCAGGTGCGCCCCTCCTTCCGCCGCCGGACTGAGGAGGAGGAGGGCACCTCGGGCGCTGAGGTCCCAGTGCCCTCCCAGGAAACCCGGTGGGTGCCCTGCCCCTCCCTGGGGAAGGGAGGGGGGGC